AAAACTATATATAGTTTTTTTTATTCAGTAGGCAAATTGCTGTTGTTGATTGTGGTATTTAGTCCTTTTATATTTAACTATTGATAAGATTGAACTTTTGTCTGCCATTTTGCTATTTGTTATATGTCTCATATTTTTTGTTCTTTTGTTTTTCTACTTTATACCACCTTTTGTATTAAATAGGTATTGTTTATTATACCACTTAAACTCTTTTTTTTTAGGTGTGTGTTTTTAAAAGTTATATTCTTACTGTTTGCTCTAGGGATTAAAATATGCACTTTAACTTATGACAATTTACTTGAGAAGAATACTAACTTAATTCCAGTAAAATATAGAAAGTTTGCTCCATAGAGCTCTATTTACTCCTCCTTTTTTGTTATATTATCGTGTACCTCAAATGTAAACTGAACAATACAGTGTTATGATGCCTTTTCAAAGAGTTAAGGGAGGAAGAGAGAAGAACATATATTTATGTAGTCTTTTTATTTACCCTCATATTTCCTTTTTTTGGTGTTATTTGTTCAGGTAGATTTGAATTACCATATGTTGTCATTTCCTTTCATCTTGAAGGATTGTAGTTTCTTTTTTTGTGCAAGGCAGGTTTGCTAGCAATAGAGTCTCCCAGTCCTTGTCTGGAAATGTTTTTATTTACTCATCATTTTAAAAGAATAGTTTGCTGGATGTATAGAATTATTGATTGACAGTTCTTTTTAACAGTTTGAATTTATCATTCCTCTGTCTTTTGTCCTTTATTTTATTTTATTTTATTTTTGTGGTATGCGGGCCTCTCACTGTTGTGGCCTCTCCCGTTGCGGAGCACAGGCTCCAGACGCGCAGGCTCAGCGACCATGGCTCACGGGCCCAGCCGCTCTGCGGCATATGGGATCTTCCCGGACCGGGGCACGAACCCGTGTTCCCTGCATCGACAGGCGGACTCTCAACCACTGCGCCACCAGGGAAGCTCCCTTTATTGTTTTTTTATGTGAAGTCAGCTGTTAATTATACTGTAGTTCCAGTGTATAAGTCTTTTTCTGTTGCTTCTTTCTGAATTTAGCCTTTGTCTTTCAACCGTGACTAGCTGTTGCTCTGTTTCTGTTTATTTTATTTTGGGTTTAATTTATCTTCTTGTGTTTGTAGATTTAATATTTTTGTCAAATTTTGGAAGTTTTATGCCCTCACCTCTTCAAATATTCTTTTTCAGCCCTTTTTCCTCTCTCATGTGTGGTACTCCTATTACATGTAAGTTGGTATGCTTGATATTATCCCACAGCTCTCCCTGGTTCTCTGTTATTATTCAGTTTTTTTCTTATGATGTTCATATTGGATAGTTTCTGTTGATCTTCAAGTTCATTGGTTATTCTTCTTTCTCAAATGTATTGTTGAACTTCTCTAGAGAATTTAAAATTTTGTTACTATACTTTTCAACTCTAGGATTTTCATCTGGTTCTTTCTTTCTTAAAATTGAGATTAATTCACATTACATAAAATGCACCAATTAAGGCATACAGTTCAGTGTTTTTTAGTTTGTTCACAAGGTCATGAAACCATTATTACTATCTAATTTCAGAACATTTTTATCACCCCAAAAGAAACGTTATACCCGTTAGCATTCACCCCTCCTACCCCACTTGCCCCAACCCGTAGCAAACACTAATTTACTTTCTGTTTTGATGGATTTGCCTATTCTGGACATGAATGGAATCATACAGTATGTGGCCTTTTGCATCTGACTTTTTTCACATAGCTTAATGTTTTCAAGGTTCATCTGTGTTGTAGCATGTATCAGTACTTAAGTCCTTTTGATGGCTGAATAGTATTCCATTAAGTGGGTATGAATATACCACATTCTGTGTATCCATTCATCATCACACTTTACTCTTTCTTTGTATGTCTCATAATTTTGTTGTTGAACACTGAAAAATTTGGATAATATAGCAACTGTGTGTTCTAATTTTTTTCCCCTGAGGGTTGTTGCCATTGTTTTATTAGTGTGTTCAGTAACATGTCTGTACTAAATCTGTGTAGTCTGTTTGATGTACGGTGTGTGACTGCTAATATCTCTGCTCAGCTTAAAATCTTTATTGTAGTTTTAAACCTGGCTAGGTGCCTTGTATAAGCATAGCTTGGGTCAGCAAGTGATTGGCCTTTGCTTGTACACTTTGTTTCATTATATGCTTCTCCCTTATGCTGATGATTCTTTGTGTGTTTTCAAGGTTCAAGCAGTTTTAAAGTTTGCCCTGGCTTTTGTTTTCCTTTGGCATCTCTTGCATTTCTCTGCATGTGCGCCCTCTCATGGTTTGCCAGGGATTTGCAGATAGCTTGATCCGTCTCTGGTTTTTCCTGCATGGATAGGTAGAGAACTTATTAAGAACCCTTATGGCCATGTTATTTTCTGGATCTTCCTGCTAAATGTCTGGCTAATGTGCTGGTCCTTTGCTTACTACAACTTCATGCTTGCTGAGCCACTGTTCTTGCCATTTCTTTGGCACTAAGATTGCTACTATTATTGGTAACACTGTTTTTTGTGGGGGGGAACTTTTTTCTGTGCTTAAGTCTAAATCATGCCCGCCTCTTCTGCAGGTGATCTGCTTGTTTTTAAGGCTTGTCTTCCCTTGTATAATTACCATGGCAACCCAGCTGGGAGGGAATATATGAACAACCTCAGGCAAGAATGTCACAGACCCCCACAGTTCTCACCGGGGCTTCTGTGGTTTTATGAGTAGCCACTTATTCATTTGCTTTATGTTTTTTGGTTAATTTCCAGAGCTCTTAAATGTAAAATTGTTTTGACAGTTTTCTCTAGTTTCATCATTGCCTTTTGGGGAGCATTTGCTGATTTACCACCATATTTGGATGTTCCGGCATATCTGAACTCCTTCCCCCCCAGATTGACTCTTCATTAATCAAAACCTTTGAGATGCTGTATAATAAGAGTTTCTTTTTACTGCATACTCAGAAACACTAAAAGGTTAATGTTTTTGAACTAGGGATTTAAAGTAGAATTGTGGCGTATTTTCCTACTACTTCCCTTAAGTTCCTCTAGAACAGTTTTTATTATTTTGTTTCATTAAAGATTTATTCTTTATTATCTATTTTGTATAATATTGTTTATTAAATTAGGTAAGTAAAATTTCTGTAGGATTAGGAGCTAAACATTTCTTGCATTCTTCAGTATTTTGTTTTTATCTTATGAGCAAATCTTGTATCAGCTAGTAATAACAAATAAAAATTTGAGTGCTCATTACATTGTTCTAAACACTTTACATCTGTGAAAACTTTTAGTCCTAACAACTCTTTGAGTTAGTGATGTAGATATTATTTCCATTTTTATAGGTAGGTAACTTAAAGTCACATACCTGGTAGTGGAAGAGGTAGTTAATAGTTGAAAGGCACTTTCTACTATGTGAGATTATACCTAAAATCAAATTTGCCTATTAAAATTCTCAGGAATACTTTTACATTTTCTTAGGGTTTGGTTTGGATATTGTTTAAAGGATGGCTTAGTCTAGAATAGATACTCTTCTTTTTGGAGAAAAATTCAGTTACAATCTGTGATTTGAATATTTTAATTAAAAAATAGAATAATGTGATAAAAATTCTTCTAAAAATAATCGTTTTCAAAGTTTCAGTTCACTTAAAACTCAGGGAAGTAAAATTTGTTAATTTGAGAGGGACCATTTCAAATTTCTCAAAGATGAACTGGCAGGGAGACTTGATTAGGTAAAGATAGTTGTTAGGGGCAGGGGAAGGATAGTTGTTGAGTTCTTTGTGCTGACACAGAGAGGAAATAGGGGTCTTGTATTTCTCTTGGGTTTTGCTATCCTGGTAATAGTGTTTGGGGGTATAGAACTGTGGGTGGAAGGTAAAAGGAAATATGTTAAAGAGCAGAAGAGCTGTTATTTTAATTAGTTATAGTTATTTAAGGGTTATAAACCTTTATATATGTTATTGGAGCATTCAGTCCATAAAGCCACAGCACAAAATCACACCACACCACTTGCCTGATAGAGCATTCGCTAGTTGCACACAGAGTAAGAGAAAATAATCTTTTCAGGCCTGAATTTTCAAACTTAAATATAGAATTAAAATGATGGTCACATGGATAAATCAGTTTTATATTTATTAAAAATGTATCTCTTTAATAAAATATCTTAAATTTATTTAGTCTTATGTACATTGCATTCAAATGATTCTCGAATATAAGGCACTTCTCGGATCACTTGAGGTGCTGTGTTGTAGTTTTTAATTTGGTAAAATTAAATGACTTCCTAATGGATTCCATCATTTATCATTAATTAGAAAGACTAGTGACTACTAAGGATACTGAGTAATACCCACCACTTTAGCTGGTGGGCTTTTTCTTTTTCTGCATTTTTTTTTTTTTTTTTTGCGGTATGCGGGCCTCTCACTGCTGTGGCCTCTCCCGTTGCGGAGCACAGGCTCTGGACGCGCAGGCCCAGCGGCCGTGGCTCACGGGCCCAGCCGCTCCGCGGCATGTGGGATCCTCCCAGACCGGAGCACGAACCCATGTCCCCTGCATCGGCAGGTGGACTCCCAACCACTGCGCCACCAGGGAAGCCCTCTGCACTTTTTTTAATGAGTACTTTTGGTAGATTTAAAATAACATGCTTTTATAAAAAGCCACACGTTATTAAAAACATTGTAAAATTCTTGTTGAATTTTTAAATAATAGGCTATGTTTTAGAACAGTTTAGGTTTACAGAAAAATTATGCAGAAAGTATAGAGTTTTCCCATAGATTCCCCTTTCTCCCTCACAGTTTCCCCTATTATTAACATCTTTCCTTGGTGTGGTACATTTGTTACATTTGATGAACCAATATTGATATTCCTATTGATTTTTTAAAAGCAGTTGTAATCTAGTTTAATAGATGAACATTTTTGTAATTCTTGTACATAGATGAGATAACCATTGTTCTCATTACTGATTTTTTAAAATACTCATATCGACAATGAAGCACAGTTACTTTGGTCTTTTTAGGGTGGAATAATCAATGATGGTTCTGAATTGATTGGTCCCGTTGAAGCTTATTCGGATTCCCTCATTGATAGCTTTCCTGAATGTACTACAGAAGGTAAGAGATTTAAATTTTTTTTTTCATTTCAGTGGTTTTGATTGTGACAGACTATGAATCATAGCTACAGTGCCAAAATTAGGTGGATATAGGAATTTGAGAGTATTTCACTAATTCTAAGATACTTTTTTTCCCTCATGTTTTAACATCACTGATATTGAGTACATAATACTGGGTTGATGATACCTTACATTTAATAGACAGATTTTTTCTTTCTCAGTGATGTATAAAATAATGATTTGTCCTACAATTAATGGCTTCTTAGATTTGATGAAATGTGGTATAATGAGTGTTCAGAATTTGTGTTGTCTAGTATAAGAATGCCTTGCTAAAGTTTATTTAGCAGCATCTGACTATCAGACAATTAATTTCAAGACTGGCTTTAAAAGTTTAGTCAGGTACCAGAAAGAATATATCTAAGGCAGTTTTAGTGTTTTTGATATATTTTATAATAACATGAGTCTAAACCAAAGCAATTTTTATACTTTTAATCACTTTAATTTAAGAATGCTTAATCTCTTGTTTTATTCCTCTGTTAAGCCATCTTTGAATTTTTATGAAGACTTAAAATACATATTTTGGTCTTTGAATTTCCTTAGCTAGTTTTCTTCCAGAAAATATTTTGGAATTAAAAAAGAGAGAGACTTGGGGACAGGGTGGGGAGTCTTTAAAAATAGGTAATTAGATTTGTTTGAGGTGGCTTAGGTTTGGTTTATATAAAAGAAAAATCATAGACTAGATAATATTTCTTGATCTCTTTCATGGGTAAGAATTTATGGTAGAGGAGAATGGTGTATGGCTCTAACATGGGAGGTAGCCATGATCTCATTGTAGTGATGTTTTTGTGGGGATGTGTACTGATGTCATACAGTGACAGACACATTGACGTAGATCTATTGCAGTAATTCCCATCATGTTTTGGTAGGAACAACAAGTTCCCATCCATTGTGTGGGCTGATGCACTTAAAATTTATTTTTCTTTTGGTGGTACCACATTGAGAAGTGATTAGCTTTTCTTATTTTTCATGATGGCTCTCATTGACTTAAAAGCACACACAGTCCATTAACTTACACCTACTGTTCTGTGAAATGTATGGGGTCCTTAGGCCCAGGGGTCTCCCTTGGGTCCTCAGTATCTTTGACTCCATCCTGAATCAGCTGAGGTCATAGAAAAACATTGTTGATAGTAATTTTATTTTATAGTCCATCAGGTTTGTTGGGAAAAAGAAAATCTATTCTCCACGACCTATTTTGATCTGAGATACTTGCTAGGCTTTGGAAAATCTAATCACTGCTTGAGATGCTAAGGTGACTCTGTTTCTAGAACTAGTTTCCTTGGAGGGTGACTTTTCTGGGATAACCTGATCTGGGTGTTGCCTCAGAGATACACTCCTACTCTTGAGAAAGAGGTAGAGGGCATTTTCTGCCTGTAAATGTGCTGATTTGGTGATGTCCAAGAGAGGACAAGTAGGAGAGTTAGAAAGATTTGTGGGAGAGTTTTTTTTTTTTTTTTTTTTGCGGTACGCGGGCCTCTTACTGTTGTGGCCTCTCCCGTTGCGGAGCGCAGGCTCAGTGGCCATGGCTCACGGGCCCAGCCACTCCGCGGTATGTGGGATCCTCCCGGACTGGGGCACGAACCTGTGTCCCCTGCATCGGCAGGTGGACTCTCAACCACTGCGCCACCAGGGAAGCCCTCTCTTTGTTTCTTGATGCAGAAATTGAAGGGTATTTGATTTGGGGATGGTTATATTCTTTGATATCTTTGATAAGTCTTTATTACCTAGGTAGGAGTCAACCATGGTGAGAGAAGGGTGTCCCAGAAGCCTATTTGAGTATAAGGTAATCAGGGATGGGAGTGGTGCAGAGGTCTTTTGCCTTAGTTTAGGAGAGAAGGGGAGGAGCATTATTATTAGGATAACTTTCCTCGGGATGGTGTTGTAAAATGTGGAAGCTGTTCGGAATAAAAAGGTATTGATATTAAAGGAGATATAACCTAAGGTAGATTATAGCTCTAACTTTATAAGCTAGGGTGAGCTTATAATTTATTGTCCAAACTGAGACACTTCTGAGAATTAAAGAAGATGCTACTGTACTTATTGTACAACAAGACAGCAAGCATAAACCAACAAGCTGGGCAAACAGGGTGAATGGGCTACCCTGCCTACAGCAGAGGTAGAGTATATTTGTTTCAGGGTTTATCTTTGACATTTCAAAAAGCTGAGTTTTCCTTGGAAGCAGTTATCATTTAGGAATATGCTTTTATGAGGGAAATTGGGGGCAACATTTCTGTTAAAAACACAGAAAAAGACTTAATGGTACCTAAAAGTAATACTGAAATTTTATCCTTTCAGTGCATAGTTTAGTTTTCTAACTATATTACCATCTCTGAAACACACTGTGATCCTTGAAGAATGAAAAACATGGAACTGGAAATGCTGTTAATGTTTATGTTTTTTACCCCCTCCCTTTAAAAGCCTCTATTCTATGCCTCGCTAATTAATCCTGCTGAAAGATACCTGTTGACAAATACAGCTCGGAGTGTCAGACAACTTGCAAATTCATTGTTATTTGAGAGGAAAAATGACTTTTAAATATCATGAGATTGTCTGGCATACTAGCCAAGTGGAAGATTTACTTTCATACCAAAAGGTCTGCAAACCACAGAGACAAACAAGGGAGAGGGCTTCTAGTAGGAAAAGAGAGGGGAAACCTGGCAGCCAGCCAAGCCCCACAGGTATGCAGTGAAATGGAAGGTTGTAGAGGGATTGTGGTGGCAAATGCTTGAGATTTGAATTCAGAGCCAAAATGTGAGGAGGTGATTTACTCCGTAACAGCTCCTCTGAGTGTAGTATTTTAAATGGTGTTTTGAAGGTGGATTCATTTTTCATACTTGTGATTTAGTTTGCCACTGGAATGGCCCAGAAGGGCAAATCTTAATATATAGTCTGCTGTGCCAAGGTCCTTCAGTTAGAGTGACAGAGAACATATGTAGAGGCTAAGTGATCATCATTTTTATTAGTACCATAAAATGCAATCAACAGGTCTTACTTAATTTACCTTGAAAGAAAGTTTTCTAAGGAAAACGTAAAGAATTGGGTTAGTGGATTTAAAAAAAATTTCATTATTTTATAGTATAGTATGATAGAGGAAACCTCTTTAAGGTTTCATAAAACCAATAATTTGGTGATTAACTGCTAAATATATTTTATCTAATATGAAATTGAAAATTATAAAATTATTCAGTAGGTTTTTAGATAAAACGTTAATGTTGTTTTATGTTTTTAAAATGAAATGCTGGTTGCTCTTTATCTCCTTTGTTCAGTGAAATTAAACTATATTTTCTCAAAGATGAAAGAAGATTTAATTGATTGTTAACATCTTATTTCCTTTATAAAATTCCATCTTTCTGTTGACTTAAACTTAGCTATAAAGTTACTGTGACATTAGTGGAAACCTGGCCAAAATGGTGCCTGGGAATTGAGCTTCTTGATATGTTTCTCTCATCTGTTGGCCTGTTGGAAGGATGTAGGTTGCTTTACTGCCATGTTGGCCTTGGTATTGGAGCCTTTGATGTCGGTATAAGCTCATCTGGTAGACTGTGTCATTTCCTCTTCCTAGTACATTACTTGACTTCTTTTGCAATTTTGGGAGGGACATTTTCCAGGTGTATGCAGCGAATAAGAGAAAATAATTAGGTGATCATAACCACAAATACAAATGGAGAGATCCGCTTTTTATATGTAGCATATCTTTAAGAATAAATATTCTTAAATGTCTCCTGGAGTAGTCAAATTTACCTTTTTTTTTTCTTTTTGCCTGTAAGTTGTGGAGTAAGAGCTCCCTAAGTGCTCATTGTAACAATTGTAGACACAAGAAAGGACCTGTTAAGCGGTCTTGAATTAACTATTTTTAGAGTAAATGAGATGTATATTTTGAGAATAGCATCTATTGCTAGTCTATGTAAGGGACCTCTTAAAATCACTTTCAGTTCAAGATTTGTGTATTTGTTTGGTGGCAGGGTAATAATTCTTTCTATTATGTAGGTAAGCACAAAGATGACAAAATATAGAAAGCCTAATTAAAAGTAATTTAAATTTAAAGTAGAATTTAGTGCAAATGTCCGCTAGGTGGCACCATGAGAACTGTAAATCTTGTTCCTGGGCTAATTCTAGGCCCTTCTGTATTACTTTCGAGTGTGCTTATTCAGTTTGAAGTTCCTTTTTCTCTTAAGTGCTTATCTACTTAACTCTTATTCACTGTCCATTATTAGTTGAATTTCCTTTGGTGGAGAAGTTTAAAATAAATAGGAAAAAAAAGAATAAGTTATTATTCTCAAGATAAGCACAAATGAGAATGTGTCATTGTGGTTATGTGTGCATATAAAACAAATGACACAAATTATAAGTATTGACCCTTAACAACTCTAGGGCTATTGAGGATAACGTTGGATATTAAGAGTTTAGCAGTCGGGTGGGGCAAATAAAAAATTCATGATATTAATATGTTGTGGGAATAGGTTTTAGAATAGAAGGAACATTGGGAATGATATAGGTAAATCTCTTATCTTACAATTAAATATTGGAATTTCAGAGAAATTAAGCCAGGTGCCTAGCAGTCACGGCACTCCAGATATTTAATAGCAATCACAGAACTCTATTTTGAAATGAGATTTAATTTTATGTAGGGGAAGGCAGTGAGAATACATATTTGATATAGAAAGCTCAGTGTGAGTTACTTATGTGCTGGTAACAGGTTTGATTTGCAGAGTAGATTATGGAGAGTAGCAGCAAAAAAAGTTCATTAGGTAGAAGTGGAAGGGAACTCATAGATCTTTGTTGTTCATGGTAAGGTAACAGTAGGGTCACAACAGTAAAGTTGCAATTAGGGTTGTAATTGTGATTGATTTATTGTTTTATGAGTTTACTCTTTTTTTCAAACAAATATGCAGTAGATATTCTGATGTTCTTTTTATAAAATTTCAACGGTGAAGCAAAGACATG